CGAATTCTGAAATGTTATTTTGTTGTTGTCGCATAATGCAACCACTTATCCACATAATAAAAGTGGAACAAACAGTTCGGGACATTTTTGCTCGGAGACGTAGTGATATGAGTAGTATTGACGCCACATATCTCTATAAATAGTTGTTTTTCCATCTGTGAATAAGTTGCTTTCCGTTTCAACATTCCCACCTGACACCTAGCATGCAATAAAATTATGGGTTCAATACTTCCAAACAATTATTCAAGTTATATTCATCATGCTGAAGTCAAACGTAGCCTTCTCAGAATGAGTTGTATATTTTCTGTATGGTGAATAGTGTTTCAGAAATATTTGTTGAACAGTGTCTCAGAATTGATCTTTCAGTTCGACTGAATCTTGCTGTGTTTGTTGTTTTCCAGGATACTCTCTGTTTCTTGGGCTAATTATTGATCGACTGCATCACTATATTAGGCAAATACGGGCGATGAAGAAAAACATGGAGGCTGTGACAAAGCAGAGCAGGGTCTTGGAAGAAACAAAGCTCGGAGACTCTGAGGAAATTCAAGGATATCAGAAAAAGATTGGCAGTTTGAATGAACAGGTGCAAGTACTCAAACAACAGTCAGAATCTCAAACACAGGAGCTAAAAACTGCTGAAACGAACAATTTGGCTTTAAGAAAACAATCTGAAGGTTTGCTTACTGAGTATGAGCGTCTAATTGCGGAGAATGAGGAATTGAGGAATAAGCTGCAAACAATGGAACTCCGCTTCTCCCGTTCTGACAGCAAGAAAAATACATAGTGAAGTGTACGTTTTACCTGTTGAACCTCGGCTACTGTAAATTTTTGTCCTATAATGTTATTATGTGCATACTTATAGGTGTACTCTCATTGTCAGATCCAAAGAACATAACTATATCTGTTGGGTGTATTGTTTTGAGTCGAAACGGGTGGCTAATCATGTTATTTACCCGGAGAAGGAAATCTACCATATATGAATGTCTTATTTGATATTTGCTGCCAGTCCATCAACAGATCGCCTCTTCATTGATCTATCACTGTCTCACTTTTAAGTCCTGTTGGCATATGAACACACGTCACCGTGTTGCCTGTCGGCAGCGTGATACGCAAGATATGCCTGTGAGGTCTCTTGAAGATCCAAAACCCTCCAGACTGATCTGTATGAACCCTACAAAAAAAAAACTGATCTGTCTGATATAATCTTTTTTGTTGGCTTTAAAGGTCGCATACAACTTCAGATTGAGATGATCCAAAAGGAAAACCGGGGACGCATTTATGTGAACAAACTGGATAAGAATATTACAATGCTTAAGTTTTCCGCGCACGCCATCTGCACCCCTCTTAAATCCGGAAGTTTCGGAGCAAATTTCTTCGCGAACAACTCGTACGCCTCTGTAAATCCGGACAACGCGGGGTCAGAAGATCCTGACGGCTGGCACGAGCAGCCAGCGCCCATGGGGAGTGGAAGGGGGCGGTGACCGACGCCGGACGATGCAGGATGGCGTGAGCGATTACGCTTGTGGCTGCTGCCGGCGCGGAGCGATTACTGTCGTGGCTGCCGCCGGTGCGACTGCTTTTCACCCCGGTAGACGATGAAGGGTCGCGCGGAGCTCGAAGAGCCACCCTTGTCCAAACATGAGCGTTCGAGAGTGTTGACCGGGGTTTAAGGTTTGATCCGGGAGTGGACGGGCCAGCGCGAGCCGGTCCGCCCTAGATATGGGCCGGGTTTGGAATGCCGGACAACCCAGAGTATAGGGCCGATTTGAGGGTCTGGGTGGCTATTTTGTGACCGAGCATTGACCAGCCATCCACCTGAGAAACGATGTGAGGTGTCCAGTTGTACATTCTTTAAGAGCATCTACGATATGCACCCTCAAATTCTCCCGAAGCGTCTGCGGACTCAACCGGTCAGTGACCGGATATGAGGGGGAAAGAAAAAAAATAACCCAACCGGACCTGTTATATCATCCCTACACGTTCAGGCTGTCCGCGAACCTTTATATTGAGGACAAATGCAGGGGGGATATAACAGCTGACGGACGCACTAGGACGTGTCCGGTCAGCCCGCCACGTAGGACGTGGCCCACCCTGACCACCTTTTTTCTTCCTTTATTTTTTTTTCTTCTCTTTCTTCATTTTCATCAATCACGTGTTAGTGACCAGACATATGAGAAAGAAAATGAAAAATATGGCTGCATGAAGGGACAAATAGGGGCTTAAAACGGACATGCCCAGTCACTGACCGGACACATCCACAGACGGTTAAGGGTCAGATTTGGTAAATCCGGCCGTAGATGCTCTAAGCCGGTATTTTCCTTCCTAGTACATCTGATTTGTGAAACATGTCAGGCTTTTAGAGCCGAGGCAAAAAAGGGAAACTGAAAGAAAAGATTCTCGTTCCTCCTGAGAAAAAGAAGGAAATACTATTCCCTCCGTCCGGAATTACTTATCGCGAAAATGGATGAAAATAAATGTATCTAGAAATAAAATACGTCTAGATACATCCATTTTCCCGACAAGTATTTACGGACGGAGGGAGTACAAGAAAACACCCGTGCCACCGCGGTTTCAGAGCCATGGGTGTCCACGACCACCACGAGCAGCATGGTCCAGTTCGTTTCCGTGGCCCGCCCACTCTTTCACCACCGGGCAGCAGCGTCGATCGCCTCGCCGGCGTGCGCGAGCAAAAGCTGCCGCGCGCGCGCTCCCGCGTGCTGGAGCTGGGGCGCCAACCTGTTTTGCTCGCGCGTTGCACCACCTCCGTAAACTGAGCTTCCACCCCACCCACCCACCACCCATTGTTAACTTCATTTCCTCCTCGGCTCGCCGGTAAATTCCCCGGGTCGATCGACGGGCGCGGCATTCTCCATGAAAACGACTCGCCAGCCGCACACGGGATGCACATTTGCCCACTAAACAAAGTATTTTTAGTCAGTCAGAGACGGGCGACAAATGGGAAGTGGTGGCACGTCGATGCGTCAGGATAATGTGCACATGGATATGGGGACAAGGTTCCTTCACTCCGCCGTGCCTTTGGATCTCATCCTCATCATCCATAAACAAATGAGAAATTCGGCCATGCATGGACTCGTTCAACGAAACTACTTACTACTAGGACCAAATACAGTTCCAGGCCCACTAGCCCAGTGCAGTCCATTCCGGCGTCTCGCCACCAAGCCTAGCCGCCACTTCCCCGCCTCCCTCGTGCCGCGCTGTCCTCCTGTGCATGATCCCGACACCTAGCAGCGACGGCACGCAAACGGTGCTATAAAGGCCACCCTTCCTCGCCGCTCCCGCCGTCTCAGTCACGTCGCCGTCTCTGCCAGCCCTCAACATGGCGCCCTCCTCTCTTCTCGTCGCTTCCACCGCCACAGCTCTCCTCCTCCTCTTCCTGTCGGCGTGCTCGTGCCGCGCGGCCGGCAACAGCCCGAGCGCCGTGGTGCTGCCGGTGAGGAAGGACGGCGCGACGGGGCAGTACCTGACCGGCTTCCGGCAGCGCACGCCCCAGGTGCCGGTGACGGCCGTGCTCGACCTCGGGGGCGGCACGCTCTGGGTGGACTGCGACGCCGGCTACGTGTCCTCGTCCTACGCGCGCGTGCCGTGCGCGTCCAAGCTGTGCCGCCTCGCCAAGACTGGCGCCTGCGCCACCAGCTGCGTCGGCAAGCCGTCCCCGGGGTGCCTCAACGACACCTGCGGCGGGTTCCCGGAGAACACCGTCACGCGCATCAGCACCGGCGGGAACCTCATCACCGACGTGCTGTCGGTGCCCACCACCTTCCGCCCGGCGCCGGGGCCGCTCGCCACCGCGCCGGCGTTCCTGTTCACGTGCGGAGCCACGTTCCTGACCGAGGGCCTCGCCGCCGGTGCCACCGGCATGGCGTCGCTCAGCCGCGCCCGCTTCGCGCTCCCGACGCAGCTCGCCGCCACCTTCCGCTTCTCCCGCAAGTTCGCGCTCTGCCTCACGTCGACCTCGGCGGCCGGGGTCGTCGTCTTCGGCGACGCGCCCTACGCGTTCCAGCCCGGGGTGGACCTCTCCAAGTCGCTCCTCTACACCCCGCTGCTCGTCAACAACGTGAGCACCGCCGGCGTCTCCGGCGAGAAGGACAAGTCGAGCGAGTACTTCATCGGCGTGACGGCCATAAAGGTGAACGGCCGCGCCGTGCCGCTGAACGCCTCGCTGCTGGCCATCGACAAGCAGGGCGGCGGCGGCACCAAGCTCAGCACGGTGGCGCCCTACACCGTGCTGGAGACCTCCATCCACAAGGCGGTCACGGACGCGTTCGCGGCGGAGACGGCCATGATCCCGCGCGTGCGGGCCGTGGCGCCGTTCAAGCTCTGCTACGACGGGAGCAAGGTGGGGAGCACGCGCGTGGGACCGGCCGTGCCGACGGTAGAGCTGGTGCTGCAGAGCGAGGCCGCGTCGTGGGTGGTGTTCGGGGCCAACTCGATGGTGGCCGCCAAGGGTGGCGCGCTGTGCCTCGGCGTGGTGGACGGCGGCGCGGCCCCGCGGACGTCGGTGGTGGTCGGGGGCCACATGATGGAGGACAACCTGCTGGAGTTCGATCTGCAGCGGTCGCGGCTCGGGTTCAGCTCCTCCCTGCTGTTCCGGCAGACGACCTGCAACAATTTCCGCCTTGGGTAGGAACAAATGGCATCCGGATGGGATTGCAGAAGATGATTTGGGTGCTTGCGTTGTTCACACTGCAGTCGAAATTTGTTTGTGTGTTTCCCCTTCGGTTTTGTTTTGGCTGTTTTGAATAATCAACAGGAGATCGAACGATTTGCCTATCAGAGCAAGCGTTGTTTCTGCGTTTACATATCGATAACATCGAATATTCCATTACATAAGATCAAACGGATCAAAACAGGTTACATAATTTCAACAACATCAAATGTTCTCAACATTCATAAAGATCCACGATGCACGTTCGCATATGCCAGGCCTGTGTTAGATCCGTGTTCTTGTTTTTTTGATTAAAAGAGGGGGTTCCCTCCGATTTCATTATCGAAATCAACGCCAAAGTAGTACTCCCTCCGTTTCAAAATAAATGATCTGATTTTATACTAACTTTATATTAAAGTTAGTAGAAAATTGAGTCATCTATTTTGAAATGGAAGGAATAGTTCACAACGGGATTGAGACGCCTAAACATCTCCAGCCATACAAGGTTCTGAAGCCAACAAAAGGAAACAACCATAAGCAAAAGCTGCCAACAAGGATGAACAAGCCATAACAAAGCAACAAAAAAACTCAGGAGCTACTATAAGCTACTGCCACTACAGCTAATCTCCAGCAGCTCCCAGCCTTCTCACGCCAGGCCTCTATCCATGCGACGTCTTGTAGACTTCATTTGCCACCCGCTTTATTATTTTTGCCTCCAGCATCAGCATTTTTTACTCTGGATTTTTTCTCTGCAAAATAGACCAGTCAGTAATTCAATTGCACATCCTTCTGATAATCATCATGGGATCATTCAATTTTTTTGATCTAAACACCACATCATTTCTGCATTTCCAGATGGACCAAAACATCGCAGACATTCCAACTATTACTAGATTTTTTTTAAACTATGATGATTTTTATAGCAAATTCGGAAACTATAAACCTTAATGCAGAAAAATCAGAAGTATCACCTTGTCGGTCTCCTGTTGGCCGAAGAGGGACTTTTTGGCCTACCATTGGCCGAAGAGGGACTTTTCGGCCAACCGTTAGCCAAAGAGTCCCTCTTCAGCCAACACCAGCTCTACTGTTTTAGAAAATTCATATCAATAAGATTTTTAGTATTTTAATTTGATTCTTTTTACATTAGATTAAAAAATTTATGAAGTTTCTGTAGATATCAAGTTTGACTAGATTTGAAAGTTTGAATTTGAATTTTCATGAATTTACTCAAATCACTAGATTGCCTATAATTTGAGCTAGGAGTACTCTTTTTAGATGGTTCTTTTTGCTACTAGTTCTTTGTTACTTTGTTTATCAATAGTAATTAAATGGTGAATTTTAGGATTATTTAAAATTAGGTTTTTACGAAAACAGTTCTGTTTTAGTGTTTTATAGGTTTTGTGCTATTTCTTTTAATTTTAATTGCTTTAAATTGTTTTCTTTATTTTTTGACATATTCTTTTAGTTTGTGTTAAGTTATTAGTAGATATTTTATTTGTAGTATTTTTTGTGTTTTATTTATTTTATCCTCCATTTTCTTTCCCGTCGTTCTTTCCCTCCATTTTCTCCCGCTATTTTCTTTGCCGCCATTTTCTCCCGCCATTCTCTCCCGCCATTATTTGCCGCCATTTTCTCCTGCCATTTTCTTTTCTGTCATTTTATTTGCCACCATTCTCTCCCTCCATTTTCCCCGCCATTTTCTTTCCCGCCATTCTCTCCCACCATTTTCTTTCTCGCCATTCTCTCCCGCCATCTTCTTTCCCGCCATCTTCTTTCTTGCCATCTTCACTTCTCAACTTATAAAACGAGCCTCATGGTGTCCACGACCGTAGATAACATCGTCTGACACGGTCTGTGTCTCCTGCGTCGGTGCTGCTGGTAGAGTGTGAAACACTGTCTGAGAGAAGTCACAAGTGTTTGCAGCTTCGTCATCATCATCGGAGAGTGTTTCACACTTATGACTTCTCTCACACAGTGTTTCACACTCCACATGAAGGCGTCATAGTCATCTTCGTCGATGCATCACTCCTTAGTGTGGCGGGAGAGAATGGCGGGAAAGAAAATCGCGGGAGAGAATGGCGGGAGAAAATGGTGGCAAAGAAGATGGCGGGAAAGAAAATGGAGGGAAAAAGATAGTGGAAAAGTATTTTTTTTTCATGTATAAAACGATAATGATTGTACAGGATTTATAAGGCGCTTTAAAATATAAACTCCTATGAAGCTCAAAACAAGTTTTCTAGTAGGATAAAAGAAATAAAATACAAAAACATTACAAATAAAATAGCTACTGATAACTAAACAGAAACAAAAAGAATATGTAAAAAAATAAAGAAAACAATTTAAAGCAATTAAAATTAAAAGAAATAGCATAAAACCTATAAAACACTAAAATAGAACTGTTTTCATAAAAACCTAATTATAAATAATTATAAAATCCGCCAATTAATTACTACTGATAAACAAAGTCACAAAGAACCAGTAGCAAACAGAATCATCTGAAAAAAATACTCCTAGCTCAAATTATAGGCAATCTAGTGATTTGAGCAATTCATGAAAATTTCAAATTCAAACTTTCAAATCTAGTCAAACTTGATATCTACAGAAACTTCATAAAATTTCTAATCTAATGCAAAAAGAATCAAATTAAAATACTAAAAATCCTAATTGATATGAATTTTCTAAAACAGTAAAGCAGATGTTGGCCGACAAGTCCCTCTTCGGCCAACAGGAGGCCGACGGGGTGATACTTTTGATTTTTCTGCATTATGGTGTATAGTTTCCGAATTTGCTATAAAAATCATCATAGTTTCAAAAAAAATCCTATTACTAGCTGTTTTTGTGTTTTCTGGAATGTTTTGATCCACCTTGTTAGGCAGTCATTCAGAGTCTGTGGAATAGTTTGGAGATCAAAGGAGCATTTAACAAGACTCCACATTAATCTAGCCGCAGAACAGGAGAAAAACAAGTGATCAATAGATTCTTCTTTCCCACAGAAGACACAATTTTTACTCCCTTTCCAACCTCTTCTAGCCAAGTTATCTTCAGTCAGGATGCTTTTCCTAGCCAAAAGCCAGAGAAACATCTTGATCTTGGCTGGGGTTTTAATCTTCTAGAGGAATTTGGGTGGGAAACCCATATCATTTTTAATAAGGAAATCATAAAGAGATTTCACAGAAAATTTCCAATCTTTAGTTTGGATACAACAGAAGGCCAAGTTTGGAGACTCAAAACTCTGTGACTTGCTCTATCCTGTCCTCGATCAGGTACAACATTAACATACAGACCAAGATACTCGTTCGGCGATCCGGAACAAGAGAAGTTTAGTGTTATGTCTGATAAGGCATGCAACAATTCCGGTTCTGGACTGGCTTACCCTTCTATATTTTCAACATAACTGAAAGTCTGAAGTCTGAAGCAGTTGATAGTACAATGCAAACCGAAAGGAAATCCATAAAGCTTCAAGGGCAAAGATCATTGTTTCAGGAATAGGGATGTCTCTCTAGAATAGACCTTGCCACAAATAGGGGTGGGGTGTCCATGTCTCTCTAGGATAGACCTTACCATGTGTAATATTCCTGGACGTGAACAGATCCGCATTTCTTAGACCAAAGAGCAAGTTCATCCCGCCCACATCTGTTGGTAAACATCAGCACTACATCTAGGGAGAGGAAATAGCAAGTGCAAGTTCTCTACTCTGGACAACACGACAGCATTATTTATTTGAAAGAACCAGAGACTTCAGATGAGTAGTGGAAAGAGTAAGATGTAAAGATCAACACAGGGTTTACATCAGGATGTAGTTCTTATTGAAATCTCTAAAAGGCTTATATTTAGAAACGGAGGGGTAGATTTTAATAGGCCGCAGGACACAAAATGACAGTTGTTAAACTACAAATGTAGTTGATACTCAGTAAGGGCTACCAATAGGGCAAAATTGTCCCTGAAGCACTGTTAGAATCATGGATCATGTCTTGATCTTTAACATTGGCACTAGAAACATAAGCCTAATCTAGAATTATACCAATCTAGAAGAAGACCGGCCTATTTGAATCCTTCAAATCTGATCTTACCCTCATATGCCTTAACAACATCTGGCACATCATCAGCGTGCCTCAGTACAAACCTGGTCGAGAAATTCCCGGAACTGCCAAGCAAAGCCTGAAGCAACTTGATACTATCTCTCTGAATCCTCCCCTCCCTCATCAACACACTCAGCACGGCGCACCTCGGCAGGATGCACTTCTCCAAGCTATAAGCTAGAACCACAGGCCGCGCAATTACATCACGTATTCCGAGCTTCAGCTCGTCCAGCAGGAACCGGACCTTCTTGTTTATGCTCTCATCGGTGAAAAGGAATATCGTGGGCTGCTTCTTGAAGGCCTCCAGCACCTCACCCTCTGACAGCCCGAAGCTCTGGTAAAATGCCAGTTTCCGCAGCCATGACTCCCTCTTCAGACTGGACATCGCACGGAAGCAGTAGAGGAAGCGCGGGTCCAAGATGGACATGCCCATCGCCTTGAGTTCCTCGAAGATTTCGCCGATGCGATACGGTGACGACATGAGCACGCCCAAGTGGATGACGAGGAGCTTCGAAATGTCGGCCTCTCCGAGGCCGCCCCGGCGGAGGGCTTCCACGGCGGGGCGCATGTTGTTGTTGAGGTCCACAGAGAGGGCGCGGGGGGCGCGGTGGAAAGCGAGGCGGAGGTTGTCGTCGCTGCCGATGATGCCGCGGAGGAACTGGATGGCGGGGACGAGGTGCTTGTCGAGGCTGCGTCCGAGGAGGAAAGGCTCGGAGGCGAGCTTGCGGGGCTCGAAGCCTAGGGAGGCGAAAAGGTCGAGCTTGGGGCGGAGGATCCGCTCGGGGTCAAAGACGAGGAGAACCGGGGCGCTGCGCAACGCCCTGACGATGTCCGCGTCGGTGAAGCCATAGAGCTTGAGGAGGGCGCGCACAGCGTCGGCCTTGTCGGTGGAGCGGATGCGGAGGTGCTGAGAGGTAGTGGCCGCGCCAGCGGCGGCGGGGGAGAGGCCGCGCGAGATGAGGTAGGAAACGGAGTCGGGGCAGGGCTCCGAGCTCGGGGCTTCGGCGACGGCGAGCGAGGTGTGGCAGTGGGCGAGAGGGATGGTGCCAGGGATGAACTCGAGGGGGTTTGTCCTGCCGCCACCGCCAGCGGTTTGATGGATTCGGAGGGTGAGCCGCCGCCGGCAGATGGAGGCGAACATGATGGATGGGGCGGACTAGTGTGGGGGGACAGGGGCGGCCTCCGGGGGACGAGTTAAAATCACACAACCACCACGTTGTGTCACGATAACCCACTATTTACTAGTAACATTTTGCATTGAACCAAAATCTTGACAGTGACAAAAACACCGGGTCATTTTTTGAGCACGTTTTGACATGACTGATCCCTCGCAGGCCGACAACAGCGACGGTGCGGATCGGAAGCACGCGAGTCGACCCGGTCGGACATACATTGTTGGGCTTGTTCGTTCCGTAGCATTGTCCTACTGGGTCGTTCACTAAGTAGCAGATCGCCGCTGGTTGTGGTGGCCGTTCACTACTTAAGGTGCCGCCCGTTCGGTTTCCCATGTCTCTGGAAAACCCCCGTCATCGTCCTTCCACCGCATTCACGAGCCGCCACGTCGCACGGAAAACCACCCCGCCTCCAGCCTCTCTCCTATTGCCTCTCTCATCTCACCTCTCACTGCCACCGCCGATGGCGAAGTCCAACCACGGTTGGGAGAGGGCGGTTTAGGATGGGCCGACAATGATCCAATGAAGAAAGCAATCAACCGGGAGCTCGCCTAGCGGTTCAAGAGTGCCCCCGCTCCCGTCAACCACGCCAGAGGCCTTGTGCCGTCGCTCACGAATGACGAGAGGAAACACGCCTTCTCGAGGGCAAGGGTTGTTGGGAATGGTTGCATGGAAAACAAAAAAAATTCTACACACACGCAATGATCTATCTATGGAGATGCATAGCAACGAGGAGGGGAGTGTGTTTACGTACCCTCGTCGACCGTAAGCGGAAGCGTTTCACAACGCGGTTGATGTAGTCGAACTTTCTTCGCGCTCCACCGATCGAGTACCGAACGTACGACACCTCCGAGTACTGCACACGTTCAGCTCGGTGACGTCCCTCGCCTTCTTGATCCAGAAAGACGTCGAGGTAGTAGATGAGTTCCGTCAGCACGACGGCGTGGTGACGGTGATGGTGAAGTGATTCTCGCAGGGCTTCGCCTAAGCACTACAAAAATATGACCGATGGTGTAAACGATGGAGGGGGCGCCACACACGGCTAGGCAATTGTCTAGGGTGTGCTAGGGGCGCCCCTCCCCCCACATATATATAGGTGGGAGGGGGAGGGGAGAGGCCAGGAGGCGCCCCAAGTAGGACCGAATCCTACTTGGGTTCCTCCTAGGCTGGCCGCCCCCTTCCTTATTCACCAGAGGGGGAAGGAAAGAGGAGGGGGAGAAAGGGAAGGGGGAGTCCGACCCCCCTTTCCTTTCTCTTCCCCCCTTTCCCTCTCCCTTTGGTTCGGCCCATATGGGGGCGCACCAGCCCTTGGTGGCTGGTGTGTTTCCCCTCTTGGCCCATTAGGCCCATATCTTTTGCCAGGGGTGCCCGGAACCCCTTCCGGTGAGCCGATATGTACCTAGTACCCTCCGGAACACTTTCAGTGTCCAAATATTGTCGTCCTATATATCAATCTTTACCTCTTGACCATCTCGAGACTCCTCGTCATGCCCGTGATCTCATTCTGGACTCCGAACAACTTCCGGTCACCAAATCGCATAACTCATATAATACAATATCGTCATCGAACGGGACCCTACAGGTTCGAGAACTATGTAGACATGACCGAGACACCTCTCTTGTCAATAACCAATAGGGAACCCGGATTCTCATATTGGCTCCTACATATTCTACGAAGATCTTTATCGGTCGAACCGTAATGACAACATACGTAATTCCCTTTGTCCATCGGTATGTTACTTGCCCGAGATTCGATCGTCAGTATCTTCATACCTAGTTCAATCTCGTTACCGGCAAGTCTCTTTACTCGTTCCATAATACATCATCCTGCAACTAACTCATTAGTCACTTTACTTGCAAGGCTTCTTATGATGTATATTACCGAGAGGGACCAGAGATACCTCTCCGATACTCGGAGTGACAAATCCTAATCTCTATCTATGCCAACTCAACAAATACCTTTGGAGATACCTGTAGATCATCTTTATAATCACTCAATTACGTTGCGATGTTTGATAGCACACAAGGCATTCCTCCGGTATCCGGGAGTTGCATAATCTCACAGTCGAAGGAATATGTATTTGACATGAATAAAGCAATAGCAATAAAACTGAACAATCATAATGCTAAGCTAACGGATGGGTCTTATCCATCGGATCATTCTCCTAATGATGTGATCCCGTTATCAAATGACAACTCATGTCCATGGTCAGGAGACGATAACCATCTTTGATCAACGAGCTAGTCAAGTAGAGGCTCACTAGGAACACAGTGTTTGTTTATATATTCACACATGTATTTAGGTTTCCGATCAATACAATTCTAGCATGAATAATAAACCTTTATCATGAATAAGGAAATATAAAATAACAACTTTATTATTGCCTCTAGGGCATATTTACTTCAAGGGTGTGCCGACAGTTGCCATCATCGTCTCCTACATGCTGGAGTCCATCTTTGGCGATGTTCGGCAGTGGAACCGGTGGATCATGTATCGCCCTTTGAAATGCAGGTTTACGGCAGATCCAACGGATACAGGCATGGTGGTCAAGGTCGTCGTGCCAGACCGTGTCAACCCCGAGTACCAAGTCCCCATCCGTAATCCCCATGCTGATGTGACTGTCATTTCCATCGACGAGGAGGATAAGCCAGAGGTGCAGGTCATGGCTCGCCCTCGCGTTGCACGGGCTGCCGTCGAATGAGTGAAGGAGAAGCTAATTGATGTTGAGCTTTTGGCCAACGTGGATGTCCTGGTGAAGATGGAGTGGGAGGAGGAGGAGGAGGCAGAGCTGTTGGTGAAGAAGCAGAAGAAAGGGAAGGAGGAGGAGGCATAGCCGGTGGTGAAGAAACATAAGAAGGGAAGAAGGAGGAGGCATAGTCGACGGTGAAGAAGTACAAGAAGAAAGAGAAGAAGAAGCCTCTGCGCCACTCTACTCGCCTCATTGGTGCGACGCGGTTGCCTCGTTGTTCTACTCGCCTGACCATTGGTCACTTAAGATGATTTAGCCATCGAGACTAAACTTGTTGTAGTTGTGTTGCTGTCAAAACTAAGTTGGTTGCATTCTAGTACTTTAGTAGCAGTGAAAAGTTTGTACTATCTGTAGTTGTCTGCCGCTTGCTTTTGGAACTCATGTACCATGGTAAGTAATTGTATTTGGCAGCATGCCATTTGTCAATTTGAATTTGTTGGTTTCTATACTTGGCAGCATCTCGTTTCTATTTCTCGGTACTTTTGTTTCTCAGCTATTTGAAGTTGAGACATGATTTCTTGTATCTGCATTGGTATTTCCCTAAAGAGGAGAGGATGATGCAGCACATCAACGACAAGTATTTTCCTCGGTTATGAAACCAAGGTTATCAATCCAGTAGGAGAACCAAACGACACTATTTAAACGGATCCTGCATACAAACAACAAATACTTGCAACCCAACGCGTAAGAGGGGTTGTCAATTCCTCCTCGGTAAAAAGATAGATAAAATTGTATGAGATTGGATAAATAGATCTTGCAGAAACACAAAATAAAATAAATAAATAAAAAGTATATCAAGGTACTTTTGGGTTTTTGGAATAATAGATCTGAAAACAGTATGATAGAAAATAGACCCGGGGCCCGTAGGTTTCACTAGTGGCTTCTCTCAAGAAAATAGCATACAGTGGGTGTCGTGGAGTTAACACGTCAGATGTCCTAGCAGAAGGACTTAGTCGTGGAGCCATCGCAACAAGATTAGCTTAAAGGGGTTAAACCGGAACAAGGGACACGAGAGTTTATACTAGTTCGGCCCCTTACGGTGAAGGTAAAAGCCTACGTCTAGTTGTGATGGGATTATTGGGGTTTCGATGATCAGGGAGCGAATACGCTTTGCCTGAGTCTCGAGTTGTTGTTTCTTGTCCCTGAACCGCCGCCGGGTCGTCCCTTTATATACATAGGATGACGCCCGGCCATTTTACAGAGTTCCGAGGCCGGCTCATACAAGTGTCCGGCTCGGTCTCTTCCTTTTCCTAACTTACAACACAAGTTATACAACTATGGGAGGTTTACAATTATGGGCCCTAATTTGCCTTTGGGCTCTAGGCCTCTAAGCTTTACTAGTAGAGCGTCATCTTCTTTGTCTTCATGGGCTTCAATACGGATAAGCGTGAATCAACCCCTCTTGGGCAGTTTACACTCAGTAGTTATATCCTCAACATTAGGCCCCAGATTGATTTGAACCTGTTCATGTCAATCTTAAATACTTAGAAAAATTCCATGAACATCTTCTTACAATCCTCGTAAACTGCCATGATATCTTCTCCTTGTAAACTTTGGTAAACCGCCATGACGTCATCTTTTGAAATTGCAATAAACCGTCATGATGTCATCTCTGTATAAAAAGGTTATAAAGATTCCCTTCATTTAATTAACTCCCAAAAATTGAGGCGACAACTGCGCCCCCTCTTGCCGCTTCAGGCTCCTCGATTCTCGCACCTGCCGCTTATCCCCTTGCCTTCATAAATAAGATCGGGGGGTCCTTCCATTTTCCCCCTTGCCTCTTCGCATCTTCTTCCTCCTCGTGACCCCGAAGAGCTCAAGCATCGCTGCCGCCGTCGACCCTTGAACCTGCATTGACTAGGCCGCTGCATCAACCTTTTCGTACCAGAGACCTTGCGACACTCCTCCGCCGCTACGTGGCCCTGGTAAGTATTCCCTTCCTCGACTTATCAAATCTGCATTAGGGTTCTGAAGTTCTTCGGTGTTCATCAGCATTCATTAGTGCTCATCTGTTTTCCCCTAGTATCTCCTTGAATCTAGCTAGGCCTGACAACTTCCTCTAGCGGCCGAAGCCGTAGTTTTAATCTGTCCCTTCATAGTATCTCGTTGTTCCTAGATAGATCCCATCTGGACTGTTAACGTTCTACCGTCGCCATTTTTAGGGCTCAGAAAATTTTCTTTACTAGGCCGCGGTAGATCCAAAATTACAATGCCATCTTGCGAAACCTGTTTCTTCAGTACTTGGTAAATTTCAAATATGCTTCTTCCATTTGTAGGCGGTTTAACCTTTAGAAAATGACAATCCGCCAGGTACCATTAGCCCTCACATAAACCGCCACCTTAACTTGAGCATCAATATCCGGTTTATAATGCATATATGTTTGAATTAAATCCCCCGGTTTAACACCGGTTTGTGCACATCAATCTTGACTCGTGAACCAGCTTTTGCACTTCCTTTACAGTTTGTCTTTCAAAATGGCCAAGCAATTCGCCTGTTGCAACTGGGTTCCTTCCCGGATCACAGAGACACAACTCAATGGGTATGTTCTGACTGGTGCTTTGGCCAAGAAGGAAGTTATTCATTGGTGAGTCCCTGGCTCTGAGTGCCCTCCTGAACCTCAAGATGGAGAAGTGGTCGTATTTATGCAGCATCTAGACTGGGGATTTAGCCCTCCCAGATCAAAGTTTTTCCGGGATGTACTTGCCAACTTCCAGCTCCATCCTCAAGTCATTGGACCGAACTCTGTGTACAATATCTGCAATTTCCAAGTGTTCTGTGAAGTTTACCTTCAAGAAGAACCAACTGTTGAGCTCTTTAGGGACTTCTTCCACTTAAACTACCGAACTGAATTCTCTGACGGCCCCAATACTGAACTTGGCGGAGTGTCAATTCAGAAAAGGAAAGAAGTTGATTTTCCTCATGCCAAACATCATAGCCACCCCAAAGATTGGAACCAAACATGGTTTTATTGTCAGAACACTGCTCCTGTTGAAGAAAACCCTCTGCCGGGTTACCGTGCTCACCGGCTCAGCAATGGACATCCCCTGCCTCAGCAACTCACAGCTAAAGAACGTCAAACATATGCACCTCAACTCGCTAAGCTCCGGGCTTTCCTAGCAAACGACTTAACTGACATTGACCTTGTTTGTTGCTGGGTTTCGTGGGGGTATCCTGCCTTTAAGCCGCCGCACCAGGTTGATGCATGAGTATACCAGGGATATCAAGGACCCTCAATGGCACCATGAGATAGAGATAACTGATGATGAAGTCACTGAGGCTATTAAGAAGATGCTGGATGAACCAATCGCTGAATGCAGCAAAACTGGGCTGCGTCCCTTTAACACCTCCAACAAACCGCCAGCGGTAATTTTTTTATCTTTCTGCCTTTTTGATCCGCCTCTGCTTTAACACTGTTCTGATACTCCTTTGTTTATTCTTACAGGCCAAAGATCCTTTCTGGAAGAGGAAAACTCAGGACAAACCGCCAAAAACTCAAGACAAACCGGCGAGGACTGCTCGTGCCAAGAGCAAGGCCATCAAGAAGCCAACCAAGAAGAAAACAACCGAGTCCTCTGATCCGCCCGAAGACGTTGATGATTCGGAACAAGAGGTAGAACTTGACTCCCTTGGCTCATTTTTCATACATCTTATTGACAACGACCCTTACCAGGATGATGTGGAAGCAAGTTGTGCTGACAATGTGGAGGTAATCTCCCTTTCCTCCAATTCCGATCTTGTGCCAGTAAGAAAAATCCGTCGCGCAGTTCGGAAAGTGAAGCGTTCACATCCTTTCACTCCTTTGGATCCACAGCATCCTGAAGCTCGTCGCACAACTCGGCATAGTGGCCAGCAAGTCACTTCTTCCTGTTTACCAGATACTCCAATCCAGAAACGCCGTGCAGAGGTCTCTTGTAATTCTATCAAGTCTTATCCCTTGGCGGGTTACTTTCGATATCCTCTTAATTCGTCTGACTCAAATTATCAGGCCACTTCCAACTCGTCCTCTGGCGATTCATCAACCACGCAAATGCCTCCCCTCAAGACCGTCCCTAGGTAAGTATAATAATGTTAACTTTGTCTTCTTGCATCAGTTTACCATATTAATCCTCTGTGCGCCATTTTGCAGTGCCAAAGCCCGATTGAGCAAGAAGGCGAAAACAACTGCTCCCACTGATGAAGTTGAACCAAATAGGACCTTAGAAGGTGCTGGCGAAAATGTTAATGTCGCCATGGATGACCCTGTGCCACAAGGCCAGGCCACTGATGTTGATACTCCCAAAGTTAACCCGGCGAGCCCTCATATCAATCCACCAAGCCCACAAGCCAATCCTCCAAGTCCGACTGTTGATCCACCGAGCCCTGCCAAAGCCATAAACAAACCGGCGAGCCCAAATGCAGCAACTGATGATGTTGTGATTACTGGGTTTGGCCATACTTCCCTTGGTAATCCTGTCGCTTTGGCAAAGCACAGTGCCAAAGTGGAATCTGCTGCTGAAGAGAAAGGCAAGTGGAAGGCTGATGTGTCAAGTTATGCTAATCTTCCCGCTCAGGAACTTCATTCTGGATACCTAAATCGCCTATACACCAGCCGTGACTATGAGGCCGGTTTGGTTAATTTGATGAAGGAGCGTTATGAGGTAACTTCCAAGCACTTCATAAATTTTCTTTGCACTACATATCAACTCCATTGTAGCCCCAATGGCCGGTTTATCTCTTAAAGATGAATTGGGACTTTAAATAAAAAAGACTTTCAACTGTGTAGCCCCGAAGGGCCAGTTTATCTCTTCAAGATGAACCGGGACTTTCTGTTTCAAACTTGTCCTTTGTTGAATTCCTTCACCTTTGACTTTTCTGATCA